GGGCGCTCCTAGCCGACGCCCAGGCGGCCGCGCGGCAGGTCAGTGGGGACCGGAGGGGAGGGGACGGTGCACGAGGCTGCCTGGGACAGTGGCTGTAGACTGAGGCTCAGAGTGAAGCTCTGCCCCGGACCCGGGAAGGGGGACTGGGAAGGCTGAAGGGGACAGAGGCTGGGACAGGATAAAGTAGGACCGGGCCTTTGGAAGGGGAGCGAGGGCACCCAGAGTAGACAATGGATGAAGGCGTGGATGTGAGGCAGGGGCCAGCAGCGACTGGAAAGGGGACAAGGAACTCTGGGACTGTTGAGCTGGTATTTGGACAAATGGGCTGGCACGTACGGAGGGAACTCTTGAAGAGGATGGCAGGAGTTCACTGTAGCAGGAAGCAGCTGCCTGCTGGGGCCTGGGATGGGGAGATTGGGGCCTGTCATCTTATCCCTTTCCTCCCAAACAGGAATCAGCACTGAAGGTTCTGGGGACAGATGGCCTCTTTCTCTTTTCCTCGCTGGACACGGACCAGGATATGTACATCAGCCCAGAGGAGTTCAAACCCATTGCAGAGAAACTGACAGGTACCAGAGATGCTGGGCACTCACGGGACACATACCAGGTCGGGTCCCCCTACAACCCTTCCCCCCACTACTTTGGGCGCACAGGCTGCTTTGGCACCCAAGCCCATTTCAGTCGTGTTTGTGAATGGTAACGATGGCATTCCTCCACCATTTCCCTGCCACATCATTGGCTTGAAGCACTTTGTGGAGGTTCAGCCTTTACCCCTGGCACAAGCGTGGGGAGGTGGACACTGTCCTGCTAGCTGTACTTCAGAAGATGGAGACACCCACTTGCCAGGCTAGAAGGCAGAGAACCAGGTTAGACCTGGCCGTCTGATTGTAGGGCCCTGCGCTGGCTCACGGGGTTGAAGATTCAGAGAGGCCGTGAGCAATGGCCAATGTGTAGATAGTCACAGACAGGACCAGCTGTGTCCGCTGCTCTCTAGACTCCAGGTTCTGTGATTCCCAGCACCTGCTAGCCAGGGCTGCCCAGATGCCGTGTGATTCCCAGCGCCTGCTAGCTGGGGCTGCCCAGGTGCAACTGCTAATTTTCTTAAAATAAGAGCAGAATAATCTGGTTCTCAAATAAATAAATTATAAAGCACTTGTCCCCTCCCACCCAGGCTGGGTGTCCATGCGCTTGTGAGTGTGGGTGTGTGCGGGATGGTCGGAGGATGACCTCAGTGCTCCAGCACCTCCCACCTTTTGTTTGAGGCAGACTCTCTCATTAGCGCGGGACTCCTCCACTGATGCTAGGCTGGTGGCCAGCAAGTGGCCAGGGATCCTTTTATTTCCACCTCCCCTCTCATAGTGCTGGGATTGCAGGTGTGCACGACGCTGCCTGGCTTTGCTTGTGAGACAAGTGCTCTAGTGAGTCCTCTCCCCAGTCACACCATCACTCGCCCTCCTTCCCCCAGCTTTTGGAGACAGTGGACATTGAACACACAGCTCTGTTTATATTACTCAATGTTTTACCACTGAACTAAGCTGTATAGCCCAGGCAGGCCTCTGGCTTGCAGGCCTCCTGCCTCAATGTCCCCAGTGCCCTCTTCTATTCTCAAACCTACGATCTTAGGCACCCAGTTGGGCACCAGCTGGTTGTGGAAGCCTGTCAGTGGATGAGAGTCAGGGGAGGAAGAAACCAATTAGTCTCAGGGTCAGGTACCATAGTGCCATCATGGGCTTGCCAGCGTTGGGGGATGGGAATGAAGGATGGTCACTTGCTGGTCCAGGGTCTTGTGGTCACTGTTAGAGGAGGACAGTCAGGTGAAAATAAAAATTTTTTAAATTTATTTATGTGTTTGCATGTATGTGCACCATTAGAGTGAAGTACCCTCAGAGGCCAGAAGAGGGCATTAGATCCCCAGGAGCTGGAGTTTCAGTTGTGAGCCACTATGTGGGTGCTGGGATTGAACCCAAGTCTTCTGGAGGAACAGCCAGTGTTCCTAACTACCAAGTCATCTCTTCAGCCCTATCTCACGAAATTGCCCAGGCTAGTCTTAAACTCTGGATTCTCCTGTCTTAGCTTTCAGGTAGCTGGGATTATAGGTCTGTACCACCATGTCTGGTTATTTTTGTTTTGAGACAGGATCTCTATAACAGCAACAACAAAGGCTTGATCCACCAAAGCCCAGTTGTTTTTAATAATTGCCACTGGAATCATTCCATTTGCAAGGCTAATAATAACTAATAATAACCCTACACAATCCTCCCTTTCTCTAATGTTCAGAATGCTGTTCTAAATTTCTGCTGGCTGGAAGTGATGGTACATACCCCAATCCCTACATTCAGGAGGCAGAGAGGGAACAGTACCACAAATTTAAGGCCAGCTTGATCTACATATCAAGTTCCAAGTCAGCCTTGTCTCAAATTAAAAAAAAAAAGTAAGTAAATAAATGTTTTTCCCGCATTGACTTGCAGATAGAGAAATATCAACTATCTTATAAAAATTGTTTATTATTAGTGCACAATCACACATGTCACATGTGCGCCACAATATACACCTGAAGGCCAGAGGACAAGTTTTGGATGCCCATTCTCTTCCCTCTACCTGATTGAAGCAGAGCCTCTTTTTTTTTTTTTTTTTTTTTTTGGTTTTTGTTTGTTTTTAGAGACAGAGTTTCTCTGGGTAGCCCTGGCTGTCCTGGAACTCACTCTGTAGACCAGGCTGGCCTCGAACTCCCAGAGCTCCACCTGCCTCTGCCTCCTGAGTGCTGGGATTAAAGATGTGTGCCATCACTGCCCAGCTGAGGCCGAGCCTCTCTAGTTCCTGTTGTGCAGCACATGTTGCAGGGCTAGAGCTCAGGTCAGGCTTACGTGGCCATCTCGCCAGCCCAAAAGCGATCTTCTGAACAGGGCAGCTGTGGACTGGGCAATTTCTGGAGTAACCCCTGGAGGGTCCACTTGGTAGGCAGAGGTGGGCCCTGAGCAGCTGCAGTGTGAAGAGGGAGTCTGGATACTTCTGATGACTGTGGTTGAGAGGTACCTAGAATGTGCCCCATTCAGCCTGGCTAGTCACCAATGCCGCCACTAAGTGCCAGGCGTGGTCTCTCTACCTTCATTCATCCTCGGGAGCCTGGAGGACAGCGCTATCATGCTTCATTCTGTCAAAGACAACCATTCATTCTGTCATTGCTTTGGAAGTCGCTTCCTCCCCTAAACCCTGCATTGTGGCTCCATTCACATGGGAAATATGAGGAGTTTTGCATCTCCTTATGAGGGAGCTGCTCCTCATGCAGGGAGGCCAAGTCAGCCAGAAGAGCAGGGAGAGACAGGTCAAGTCTCCGCCCATGGGTTCTCATCCAATGACAACATAGCCTATAGCCTGATAGGCTTGCTTTTCTTTTTGCTAAAATTCCCTTGAATGAGTCCCTCACAGTCCCCTAAGATCCAGAAGAGGGTGATAACTAATCATGAATTCAGAGTGACACAGGCCTGGCTTTGAGTCCTGACTCCCTCCAAAGTGACATCATCTCCACGTGCTTGTGAAACGGAATTGCTAATGATGTCATCTACTCCGGACTGTGCTGAAAGTAGGATCCCTGCTTGGTGTTTGTCCCTTTGGTGACTGTTAGTTCTTAGCCCTGTCCCAAGCCTAGCTCCCTCATCACAGGCATCCTGAGAGAAGTCAGGCCTGGAGCCCTGGGCAAGGTCTCTCCAGTCACCTCTGTCCCATAGGGTCAGTTCCTGCAGCCAGCTATGAGGAGGAGGAGCTCCACCATGATCCCAGTGAGGAGACTCTCACCATAGAAGCCCGATTCCAGCCTCTGCTCACAGAGACCATGACGAAGAGCAAAGATGGCTTCCTAGGGGTGAGTCGGGGCAAGGGAGGGACCACTGATGTCAAAACTACCCGTGAGCACTTGCTCCTGAGGACAGGCCTGTGCCCTCTTCCTCTTCCTCATCCTTGCCAGTGTCCCTCAGGGTGCCCACGGCATCCAAGAAGCTGAGCTTGCTTCCCAGTTTGGTCTGGCGGGAGAGCCAGAGGAAGCTGCAGGAGCCCCTCTGAACACAGGGGAGTCTGGGAGAGCTTCCTGGCAAGGGTGGCATCTGACAGAGACTGTCCCCAGGGACAAATGGGTGGGCTAGAGCGAAGAGTTAGAGTCATGAAGTCCCTGGCATGTGGCAGATGCTCTATCAATGGTGACCTGGCTGCACAGTGCAGCATCTGGCGGGGACTGTGGCAAGGACGAGCCCCTTGGGGAGAGAAGGGAGGAGACAGGCCTCATCTCCTTCCCAACTCCAGGCCCTGAGGACACAATGAGCCTATTGCAGGGCCATGCCCCGCCCCCCACCCCTGCTGGCTGTCACCTGTCTCCTACCAGATCCTCTGGGTTTCCTTCCTAATCACGGGGTTTGCTTCCCACCTCCCTGTCTGCTGTTCCCTCTGCCAGGAGCAAAGCAACCGTCCCTGTGCCCAGCCCATACCTGCTCAGCAAAGCCCCACTTCTGTGTGAGCAAGAGCCTGTGGCAAAAGGTGGCAGGCAGGCCAGAGGGCAGGTGCGGCTGGCCCTGGGGCCAGTGAGAGGCATGCTGGCTAGTGGGGCAGCAAGAGAAGCAGCTAGATTGCTGAGGGTCTCTGTTTGACCTTTAACCTTTGCTCTACAGAAGCAAAATGCCTCAGTGGGTTGACTGAAATCAGGCAGGCTGTGGGGGTACCAGCAGACCAGTTCCTGGAGCTGGTAGGGGCAAGGGGATGGATGTGGGGTACAGTCTGGGGGGGTACAGAAGAGGAAAGGGCATGCTGTGGCTGCTGATGGAAAGTGGGGAGCAGAGCAGGTGACAGAAACTCCTGGCTGGGGACCAGTGCTCACTGTGCTCTTTGCCCAAATGGGGGCTGTAAAAAGAGGGAGACTATCACCTCACGGGACACAGCACACTGAGGTGGCCGGGACACGTCAGGGGGAGTTCTGTAGGTGGAAACATGGACTTGGCTTTCCATGGGAGACCGGGAGTGGAGGAGGGGTTGGCAGTGACGGCACTGCTCAGCCAATAGCTCCCAGAGAATGCTGGGAATGGTGGAAGGATAAGAACCGGGGGGACCTCAACACTCAGGGAGGCAGGGCAGTGCCCCAACCCTGCCACAGTGCGGGACCCTTCCTCTCTCAGTGCCCTGAAGGGTTGGCCAGCCTGTGAGCAGGACCAGTGGGCAGGCAACCCAACCTGGCCCTCCTTTGAGAACCTGCCTGTTAGATTCCAAGCCAGGCTCTTAACACTGGAGGTGGAGAGGGAGGGAGGGGCCTGCTGCCCAGCAAGGATTGGCAATTTCCCAGTGGTCCAGATCCCCTCTGCGGGGAGGTATGGTCGTCCTCCTGTCCTGGTAATGATGCCTCAAAGGTACAACACTTGCCTATACCCTTAAGACCATAGAGGAACTACAGATGATAGAGCTGCAACAAGGGCCACATACCTCCAGGGTCCTGCTTCTGAGCTCTGTGCCATGTGTAGAGAGCCCTCTGACTGCTGGCTAACCGCTTCTGCCCACACACACTCTTCAAGGGGAGGAAACCGGTGAGGAAAGACCTTGCTCAGGGTCTGAACATGATGGGCAGGTGACTTGAGGCAGGGCCTTCTTTGGGGGAACCCTCCTACTTTTCCAGAGTTCTGCTCTTAACTCTGGAGTTTTCTGGCTTTTTCACTTCCCTCCATCTTCAGACTCAACAGCAAACCCAACCTCTTGTCAGATGTGGTTTGGGGCAAAGCAAGACTGCCTGCGGGAGCCAGGCAGCCTGGGGCAGGGCCTGGCACCCGGGACTGGTTGAAGGCTTATGCCGGATCGGGGTCGGACCTGTGTAAAGCCAGAGCTCAACCACCTTGGTCAAGGACAGGTGGCCCCTCCGGCTACTCAGTGGCCCGGCCTGAGTTAGCTGGCCTGGCCTGGCTGGACCTGGAAAACCAATGAAGCCCTGGCAGGGTATGTGTGAGATGAGCCACTCTCTGGCAAGACAGTGCTAAGATTGTGGCCATGGCTGAGGTGTGACCTTCCGCTTGCTCCCTCTGCTGCCCCAGCCTGTAGTCTGACTGGGCTTGAGGGAAACAGACAGGGCATCCCAGAATGCTGCTTTCCCTGTCCCAGGTCTCCCGCCTTGCCTTGTCAGGCCTCCGCAACTGGACGACTGCAGCCTCGCCAACCGCAGTGTTTGCTGCCCGCCACTTCCGGCCCTTCCTGCCCCCTCCAGGTCAGGAGCTGGGCCAGCCCTGGTGGATTATCCCTGGTGAGCTGAGTGTCTTCACAGGCTATTTGTCCAACAACCGCTTCTACCCACCGCCGCCCAAGGACAAGGAGGTAAGGGCAGTACCAGGAGAGACAGGCCCCACCAGCCCCAGCTCAGGGGTGGTCCTTCCTATCTGAACCTGGACCCAAGAACCAGGCATCCCTCTCCTTCAGTGCCCCTCCCTCTGGGCCTCAGCTTTCCGACCAGCCAGCCAGGGTCTCGCTGCCGCCCCTAGGTTATCATCCACCGGCTGTTAAGCATGTTTCACCCACGCCCCTTCGTGAAGACGCGCTTTGCCCCTCAGGGCACCGTGGCCTGCCTAACTGCCATCAGCGACTCCTACTACACGGTGATGTTCCGGTGAGTGTCACAAAGCTTGGGAGGGTAGGGGAAGTCCTATCCATTGACCCCCCCCCCCCCAACTTTACTGCCTCCCTCCTTTGTGGACTCAGGCTCTCTGAACCTCAGTTTCCTCCTCAGTGGGTCAGGGAAGTAATGACTTCCTCAGAGGGCACACGATTTGGTGAGAGGTGTCTGGAACTTGCCTAGCCCTGAAGTGGGCCTGGGTGGTGGCCAGGATGGTATCACCCACACATACGCATGCACGCATGAGCGCACCTTGGATTAAGTGGGGGGGGGTAGGGCAAGGCTTCCAGAGAAGGCAGCGCAGAGACTGCGTCTTCAAGAACAGCGCCATTTGAAGTGTCTCCCGCTGTCTCCCTGTCCCGACCCCACAGGAGTCCGGCCAAGGCTCCCTAGGTTCCGGGGGAGATTGGGGAGCGGTCCAGGCTTAGTAAACCCATTCCCACAGGATCCATGCCGAGTTCCAGCTCAGTGAACCTCCTGATTTCCCCTTCTGGTTCTCGCCGGGCCAGTTCACTGGCCATATCATCCTGTCTAAAGATGCTACACACATCCGTGACTTCCGGCTGTTCGTGCCCAATCACAGGTAGGAGCTGCCCCCAGCACAGCCTCAGAGTCCCGCTACATTCTGCTACTGATCCTGTTACCCTGTTCCCTGAGCCCAGACATCAGGGGGCTCAGGGACCCTTGAATCTCAGCCCTTTCCCCTGCCCCCCAGTACCACCACTTGGGGGACCTGGTTGCTGACTAAGAGGAGGCGGCATGAGGTAGCTAAGTGGTCTTCCTGTCTACTCACAGACATCTCCAGGCATTCCTTCCACCTCTGTGGGAAGCTAGCAGTTTACAGAGCAAGGTCCTAGAGCCCAACAAGACACCTCGAGCCTTCACTGCTGCCCCATAGCCACCGGCAGGCCCTCCCCGGAGCTGGTATTCTCCTAAGACAGCCCAGCGTAGCCTACGTATGCCACTGAGGGAAATGCCAGCAGCTGTGCAGGACCCATGGCGTCTAGGAAGGCTCCCCAGAGAGGTGACATCTAGTTTAGCCCTATGCCAGCTATTTGCCTGTTCGGGTCAGCCCCATCAGCAGATCAGGGGACTGAGGGTGTGTGTGGAGGGTGGGGATGGCTTCCAGAGAGTCTTCCCTGATAGCAGGTGGACGATTGACAGGCTCATGAGAACCTGTGCAAGGCTGAGAACCCTGAGGCGCTGATTCCAAACTTACTTTTGGTAGCAATGGGCTGTGTGGCTGTGAGCAAGGCCCTGGCCCTCTCTGGGCCCATCTCCTCACCTTCCAGGTATAAGACTGACTCCTGCCCTGTTTCACCCATGGAGCAGGGGTAACCATGGTTGGGAGAGGCTGAAACCAATGAGAGAAAGAGACAGGACAGAGACACAGTAGTACACCTGCCCTCATGAGTTTTGCCAAGTGGGGCGGAGGCTGGCCTCAGTGTGCCCATTTTGAGGTCCTGAATACCACAGGAGGTAGAAGACCAGGCAGAACTTACTGCTTCTGGGCCTGTGTCTAAGAACCTGGCCACAGGGACAGCCCTGATGGTATTCAGTCACTGCCACAGACTATTGTGTAGCAGTCCTGGGGCTCCCCCGTGTGGCAGACTTTCAGATTGCACTGACCAAGCCAAACTGCTGTCCTCCGTAGGCAAGAACAAGCCTAGCAAGTTCTCTGCACTAACAGGGTTCTTCCTTCGGCCTCATCCTGGGACCTGCAGCGAGACACTGGCCACCTCTCTGCTGTAAATGGGTCATGTGATGAGAGTCCTTTGAACTGTTGAGGCCTGGCTCAGGTTCTGCTGTCAAAATCCCAGTGACACCTCTGGAGTCTCAGTGTCTCCATCTGTTAATAGGACAACTGCTTCCATTAAATTAAATGGCACCAGCCGCACGGTGGTGGCTCACGCCTTTAATCCCAGCACTCAGGAAGCAGAGGCAGGGGATCTCTGTGAGTTCGAGGCCAGCCTGGTCTACAGAGCGAGTTCCAGGACAGGCTCCAAAGCTACACAAAGAAATCTTGTCTTAAAAAAATTAGATGGCACCTGACGTGTAACTAACGGGCTTTGATGGTGATGTTGTTTTACCCTGGCCATCCTCAGGTCCCTGAATGTTGACATGGAGTGGCTGTATGGGGCCAGTGAGACCAGCAACATGGAGGTGGACATCGGCTACATACCCCAGGTGAACACTCAGGTGCCCCTACCCAGATGGATTCAGCTGCGAGGCCTTGCCCTGAGCCCCATCTCCCCACCTATGCAGAGTAGACCATCCCTGAAGGTCTATCAGGACCCCTCTCTGAGATACCCCTCACCACTGACTTCTGGCCCAGATGGAGCTGGAGGCCACGGGCCCCTCAGTGCCCTCTGTGATCCTGGATGAGGATGGCAACATGATTGACAGCCGCCTGCCCTCGGGAGAACCCCTCCAGTTCGTGTTTGAGGAAATCAAGTGGCACCAGGAGCTGAGCTGGGAGGAAGCTGCCCGGCGCCTAGAGGTGGCCATGTACCCTTTCAAGAAGGTGAGACTGGGCGTCAAGTCCAGGAGAAGGCTCCATGCGGCCAAGGCTGGGAACTGGGGTCTAGTTATGGGCCCTGTGCTGGAACTTGGGGCTCAGGGCCAGCTTGGACGTGGGATTCCTCTCTGCTTCTCTAAACTTGAAGAAGGGTTCATGTGACTCAGCCACGCCCCTTCACACACACACACTCCCCATGTGCCCCCCCACCCATGAATAAATACATACTTCACAAGCACAACCCCAAACAGGACCCCAGCCACTCAGTTTCTCTCTTGGTTTGACCACAGGTCAACTACCTGCCATTCACAGAAGCCTTTGACAGGGCCAAGGCCGAGAACAAACTTGTGCATTCCATCTTGCTGTGGGGAGCCCTGGACGACCAGTCCTGCTGAGGTGAGGTAACACCCTGGTCAGCTCTAAGAGAAAGTGGGGACCTTCATACCCTGTGGATGGGGCACAAGAGGCTCTGGGAAAAACAGAACTTAAAGCCATAGGACCTGGGCCACCTAGGAACTGACTCCCAGGGGAGGTTTGCTGTGCTCAGGCTGAGCCTAGAAGATGACGCCAAGTGTAGAAGAAAAGGCCAGACGTGTTCATATTCAGCCATTTTAGTTTGGTGACCTTGACCAGGCAACTCCCCCTCCGAGCCTGTTTTCATCATTGGGTGTTAATGTATCTTATACTCTGTAAAGTCAAGTCTCCAAGTGAGAGAAGAAACAGTGCCAGAAGCTGGGCTTGGGTTTCTTTTCTTTTTTTGTTTTTTAAAGATTTTTTAAAATTTTTTATGTATACAGTATTCTGTCTGAATGTATGCCTGCAGGCCAAAAGAGGGCACCAGATCTCATTATAGATGGTTGTGAGCCTCTTTGTGGTTGCTGGGAATTGAACTCAGGACCTCTGGATGAGTAGCCAGTGCTCTTAACCACTGAGCCATCTCTCCAGCCCAGGGCTTGGGTTTTTTATCCAGAATGTTCACCAAAGACCTTCTGGAAAGTTCTCTGGGTGTCCAACAGTGAGTTCAAAGTGGATTAAGAGAAGCGAAGCTGGCGGGGAGAGGGGAGTGGTAGTTGGAAGGTTTCCTGGAGAAAGCGACTTTTAAACTCAGAGATTAGAGGTTTGTCACCTGACAGGAGGAAGAGGGTTTGGGGTAGAAAGTGTCTATGTAAAGGCCCTAGAGACAGAACTAAGTGGATTGAGAAGCTGTAGCTGCTAACGAGGTCCCAGACACTCCAGCCTCAACCCAGGATGCCAGTGTGTTAATCCCACTGTCCCTTCATTCAGCATCTACTCCTTGGGGGTCTGCTGTTGGCTTTTTATTATTTCTGGAGACAGTAGCCCAAGCTAGCCTATAACTCACTATATGTAGCACAGGCTGGCCTTCAATTCATAGTAATCCTCCTGCCTCAGCCTCCTACGTGCTAGGCTACAGGTGTGTGTCACCACTCCTGGATAGTACCTTCTCTTCTAACCTGTTATTTCGTCTGGGTGCAGAGACATTCTGCAGTCCGCAGGACTTACCCAAACTGAGATCATTGCTGTAAAAATTAGGGCTGCTCACCCTTGGCCTTGCCCTGAACAGGTTCGGGGCGGACTCTCCGGGAGACTGTCCTGGAAAGCCCGCCCATCCTCACGCTCCTCAATGAGAGCTTCATCAGTACCTGGTCCCTGGTAAAGGAACTGGAAGACCTGCAGGTGAGCAAGGGGTCGGGGAGCAGCCTGTGGAGTCCCCAAGACAGCATGAGGCCCAGGTACCAGGAAATAACATTGTTCCTCACAGGTCCAGCAGGAGAACCCACTCCACAGGCAGCTGGCAGGCTTGCACCTGGAGAAGTACAGCTTCCCTGTGGAGATGATGATCTGCCTGCCCAACGGAACTGTGGTGGGTCCCAGGGGACAGCGAGCAGGGGACAGCGAGCATGGGGGGCGGTCTCTTCCTGAGCTCGTCTCAGCTGGTCTGAGGCTGTCATCTCCATCACTGGCATAGGAATCCTGAGCAGGAGATCCCGGGGTGGGGTGGGCACGTACAGCAAGGCATTTAATATAGCAATAGAGTCAAGATGTCCCCAAGGGAACCTCGCGGGACAAAACATGGCCCAAGGGAACCAGGGAGGGAGGGTAGAGAGGAATAGAGGAAGGCCTGGCCTGAGCCAGCATTTCAGGTCGCCCTCTCCCTGCGGGCTGCTTAGAGGGCCTGGCATCAGGTCACAGCAGCTTTGAAAAACTTGCCCATTTTCAGAGTAGTAGAGCAAGGCTCCAACTCTGAGCAGCAGCCATGTTCAGTCTCAATGCGGCCAGAGTGGGAAGACAGGGCTATGGGAGGGTGGTGAGCTGGCCAGCCTCTAGGGAGGGAAGTCAGGATCAGGAGCTGGGCTCAGGTGAGAAAAGCCCCTGGCAGTGTCGGGGAGCCAGGGAGGAAAGGCCCAGAGGGACAGTCAGGAGGCTCCTACTGCATGGAGCCTACCCTGAGGTCCCGAAGACAGAGGGACCTGTCTTCGGACAGGATTTTGGTAGACTCTTACTAGCATGCATCTCACACGTCCATTGCTTCGCTTTCTTGTGGCTCACCCATCTGCTCGTTCACTGCACACCCACCCCACCAAGCTCCACAAAAAGGCAAGGACACGGTGGCATTCTGGCTGAGGTAGAGAGAATCTAAGGAGGCACACTGAGCACTGGGCACACTAAACACGGGGCACACTAAACACGGGGCACATTTAGCAACGGGGCACATTTAGCAACGGGGCACATTTAGCAACGGGGCACACTGAGCACGGGTCACGCTGAGCACGGAGCACGCTGAGCACGAGGCACACTGAGCACTTGGATAGGTGTTTAGGGTCATGAGAACAGAAGAGAGGCCATTTGTGAGGCATAGTAGAGGAAAGGTGGTATTGGAAGGTGGGTTTTCTGGTTAGTGGGTGAGGTAGGGGGGCACTCCCTCTGTAGAGGGCTACATGGGGGGCTGAGGAAGATGGGAGCAGCCTGGGCAGCTCTAGCCAGTGATCACCCCAGTGTGCTAGCCTGTCTGATCACCCCAGTGTGCTAGCCTGTCTGATCTCACCCCCGCGTGAAGCTGGCAGAAACTGCGATGGCCTGGGCAGATGTGACCTCGGCCTCTCCAGTTCTCCTCACTCGGCCCTTCCCCCAGGTTCACCACATCAATGCCAACTACTTCCTGGACATCACCTCCATGAAGCCGGAAGACATGGAAAGCAATGCCTTCAGCTTCTCCTCCACCTTTGAGGACCCATCCACAGCCACCTACATGCAGTTCCTGAGGGAGGGACTCAGGCGTGGCCTGCCCCTCCTCCAGCCCTAGGGAGCCTAGAGTCCTAGAGAAACTGGACCTGGTGAGAACCTGGCAGACAGATTCCACACCCTGGAGCCACAATGCCCTCCATCAGTTTCACACTGGAAATGGCCTCCACGTCACTCCCAGGCTGCCTAGGGAAGTCAAAGGCCAACCGAGGCTGCTCCCTTCACTTAGCCTGAATGAAGGTGGTTAGGTAAAGGGCCTGGCTGAGTGTGTGAATGACCTGCTGCCACTACCAGTTCTTCCGTTCTCACCGGGCTTCCCAAGCCTCAAGTTCCCCAAAACAGGGTCTGGGGTGATCTCCGTGGCCCTTCCACACAGCGATGTAGTTCAGGGCCTTGGTGCTGGGAAGACGACAGACTGCCCCTTCTTTCTTGGCTCCCCTCTCAAGTCAAAGGAATTCATGAGCTTGGCCCTGGGTGCCAGGCTGTCAGCCCCATGCCTGTTTGGCGCCTTCTACCTTGGCCATACCCCAGGCAGCTTTCTGTGCCCAGTGCCCCCAGCTTGGAGTCGTTGTCAGCCGGAGACAGCTATGGAAGTCTGTGTGCAGGGCCCGTCTACAGAAGCAGAGACCATATTGTCACACTGCCCCCCTTCAGAGCTCCTCATGGACCCAGCGGCCTGAGTCCAGTCCTGTTTTGGGGAGTTGAAGTTCACTGTGAAGTAGGTTGTACTTCAGTGATGGGTTATAGGGCGTGGGGTCCTACTGCCTGCCCCTAGGTTTATGACAGGACCGTTGGAGTCATTGTCTTCATGACACCTCTGACCCTGACCCCTGCTCCGTAGAAGTGTAGCCCAGCCAAAGACCACAGCCTTCCCCACAGCCAGCACTGTCTAGGCCCTCAGGGTCCTGCGGACAGACTATTTTACCACTGGGTGATCACCAGTTCCCCTCGGCTACTCTTAGGGACTCGGTCCACATCCTGAACCACTGACCATGACCAGTCTTTTTTATACACACAGAAAAGTGTTTTTATATGAACTTTCTCATTTTATATTAACTTTGTCACAGTTTATATTTTTTAAAACTCTGAATGCTGAGGAGAAAGAAGGGGGCAGTGACTTCCCCCAGCAGCAGCCGCATGATGGCTGGGTCTGAAATCCCAGATGGGTCCAGCCTGATGTCCTCGCAGTTGCACGTGGGCGTGGGAATACGCCCGTCTTCCTTCTCTTCTACCTTTTTTATAAGCAGTCCTCCCGAAGGTCAGCCTTTCCCCAGCTCTGTCCTGCGCTGCACACTTGATATTAATCTCATTAAGGCCTTCTTGGCTCCACCCAGTTCCCTGCGTGCCCAGTTCTTTTCCCCTGTCCCACCAGGGGCTCAGCCTTCAGCTTGGCAGAGGAGGAAGGCTGGTAGCCGTTCCCTGAGCCTGGCCCCCCTGTCTGATGCTGGAGTCACCCCACGGCGCCCACCTCAGAGTCTCTGGGATGCCCTGCAGCAACCGCCCACGCTTTCTCATTTAGTTCTCACAACAGAACAGGGAATTGGAAAATCACCCCAATTTTCAGACCAAGGTGCTCGCATCTTGGGGAAGCCAAGTGGCTTCTCAGGGCCACTCAGAGCTCTGGAGTTGTGATTTAACTCCATGTGACTCCAGCGGCTGTGTGTTGGTTTGGGGGTGCTTTGTTACCCCTACTCACTTCCCCCCATGGTGGGAAGGAACTCCTCTAAAATCATGACTTCTGCAGGCGGTGGTGGTGCACGCCTTTAATCCCGGCACTCGGGAGGCAGAGGCAGGCAGTTCTCTGTGAGTTCGAGGTCAGCCTGGTCTACAGACTGAGTTCCAGGACAGGCTCCAAAGCTACACAGAGAAACCCTGTCTCAGAGAAACAAAGAAAATCATGACTCGTGATATGACTGAACAGAGCAGGTACCAATAGCTCTGCTCTGCCAGGTTCTCTGTGGGCGAGGGGGAATAGGTTCTTCCATGAACCCTACAGAGGAGGAGGGTACCTGAGCGCTTCACAGTGCCTCTGCCGTCTTGTAGGCATGGTGCATGTGTGTCACCCAGCCTCAGAAGGGATCAGAGAGGATTCCACAGTGACTGCTGGGGCTTTCTGGGTCTTCAGCTGATACCACTGCACATCCCCAGCTGCTAGCTTGTCACCCCTCTGTCTCTTTCTTGCCCCATCCCTAGTATGTCCTGTAATAAAATTGGAGCGTTGAAGGGATTTGGTGCTTTTCCTTTGAGCAGGATATTTGGGTTCGACCTTGTGCCGTCTGATTGCTGCCTCTGTTGGGAGACAGGCAAGGATGGGCACATTTGAGCTGGTCTGTCTTTGGAGTTCTGTCTGTCAGCAAAGGTCTTGAGTGACTTGCCTAAGGTAAGTCTATAATAGAATGATAAAATATACCAAGGAATCTGAAACTTTGTGTAGAGAGTGGTCCTGAGGTTAAACTCATTGTCTTAGAAGTTGAGCCTATGGCAGGCATTAGGTAATTATGGGAGGAAATGTGCCAGTAGGGGAGGTGGGATAGCTCACTGGGTAAAGGTGCTTGCTACCAAGGCAACCTGAGTTCAGTCCCTGAATCCCACATGGTGGAAAGAACCAATTCCCAGTTGTCTTTTGACATCCACATGGGCACCATAGTGCACACACATGGGGAGGGTGTCAGGAGAGGGAAACAGAAGAGGGCAAGGAAAAAGCTCAGAACCAAAGAGTGTCAGCGCCTAGCTGTCCACAGAAGAGGGCTCTGGAGCAAACCACACTGCAGACCAAAGCAGCCTTTTGTGCTTCTGTCACTGACTAGTGCGGCAAAGTGAAGCTAGTTTCCAGATTAGGATTCGATCATAGCCATTGACATATCTTATGGGGACCAGTGCAAAATGAAGTGCAAGAAAAATGCCAGAAGCATTTAGTTAGATGCTACGCAGTGGTGGCTTTGTCACTAAGAGGCTGTGTGACAGTGATATCTTACAATCAAAGGAACTGAGAAATTCCTGTTATCTGGGACTTGAATGGTGCCCTATCTGTGCTTCTTTTATTAAAATTTTTTATTGATATTTATTGAGCTCTACATTTTTCTCTGCTTCCCTCCTTGCTTCTCCCCTCCCACCTTCAATCCTCCCCCCATGCTCCCAATTTACTCAGGAGATCTTGTCTTTTTATACTTTTTATTTCCCATATAGATTATATCTATGTAAGTCTCTCTTCGTGTCCATATTCTTGTCTAAATTCTCTGGGCTTGTGGTTTGTAGGCTGGCTTTCTTTGCTTTATGATTAAAAACCACCTATGAGTGAGTACATGTGATAATTGTCTTTCTGTGTCTGGGTTACCTCACTCAAAATAATGTTTTCTAGTTCCATCCATTTTCCTGCAAAATTCAAGCTATCGTTATTTTTTTCTGCTGTGTAGTACTCTATTGTGTAAATGTACCACATTTTTCTAATCCATTCTTCAATCGAGGGGCATTTAGGTTGTTTCCAGGTTCTGGTTATGACAAACAAAGCTGCTATGAACATGGTTGAGCACATGTCCTTGTGGCACGATTGAGCATCCTTTGGATATATACCCAAAAGTGGTATTACTGGGTCTTGGAGGAAGGCTATTTCCTAATCTTCTGAGAAATCGCCACACTGACATCCAAAGGGGTTGTACCAGCTTGCATTCCCACCAGCAATACAGAACCTCTCGAGCATAGGTTGTCATCAGTGTTTTTGATCTTGGTCATTCTTATGGGTGTAAGATGTAATCTCAGAGTTGTTTTGATTTGCATTTCTCAGATGACTAAGGATGTTGAACATTTCCTCAAGTGTCTTTCAGCCATTTTAGATTCCCCTGTTGAGAGTTCTGTTTAGGTCTGTACTCTTTTTCTTTATTGGCTTATGTGATCTTTTGGTGTCCAATTTTTTGAGTTCTTTTTATATTTTGGAGATCAGACCTCTGTCTGATGTGGGGTTAGTGAAGATCTTTTCCCATTCTGTAGGCTGTTGTTTTGTCTTGTTGACCATGTCCTTTGTTTTACAGAAGCTTTTCATTTTCAGGAGGTCCCATTTATTAATTGTTTCTCTCAGTGTCTGTGCTGCTGGGGTTCTATTTAGGAAGTGGTTCCCTGTGCCAATGTGTTCAAATGTATTTCCCACTTTCTCATCTATAAGGTTCAGTGTGGCTGGCTTTATGTTGAGGTCTTTGATCCATTTGGACTTGAGTTTTGTGCATGTTGATAGATATGGGTCTATTTTCATTTTTCTTCATGTTGATATCCAGTTATGCCAGCACCACTTGTTAAATATGCTTTCTTTTTTCCATTTGATATTTTTTGCTTCTTTATCAAAGATCAGGTGTTCAAAGATGTATGGATTGATATCCGGGTCTTCTATTGGGTCCCATTGGTCCTCCTGTCTGTTCTTATGCCAGTACCAGACTGTTTTCAGTACTGTAGCTCTGTAGTAAAGTTTGAAGTCAGGGATTGTGATGCCTCCAGAAGTTCTTTTATTGCCCAGGATTGTTTTGGCTATCCTGGGTTTTTTGCTTTTCCAAATGAAATTGAGTACCGTTCTTTCGAGGTCTTTGAAGAATTTTTGCTGGGATTTTGATGGACCTCATCTGTGTTTCGATGTAAATGTTTAGTTGTGCTACAACTGCCCTGGGATTTGGCACCGCAGCCGAGCAGATTTGCAACCTGGAGCAATAGGGTTACACCAGTTCCCTTAGGTGTCGCACACATTACGTAGGTGTGTGTGAGTACACTCAATAACTCAGTCACCTAAGGACACGTTGCTCGGAGAGTACCCTTTCTTCGGCAACCCATAACTAATTTCAAGAGGACAACAATAGAGAAACCATGCACGGGCGTAGTCAGGCAGGTCTGGGCGTAGTGCCCATTGTGGCATCCGCCCACGAAGCCAACAGATTTGTCCCTGGCAGATGGGGATGGCAGGCTTTGGGACCAAGGAAATGCAACTTGTGAGTCAGGCAAAACCTTGTACCAAGGGCAGAAACTGCAATGTGTCCCGTTAACAGGATGCCATGGGGACCAGAGGAATGAGCTTGTGAGCTTGGAAGAGTCTCCCGGTGTCATCAATCTACCCATCTAACCCACAAACTGAATCATGTTGCGCGCGTATGTATGTGAGACGCCGAGCTTTTAAACAGAAGAAAGCTACTTCTAAGTCCTGGAGGGCATGCGTCAAGGGAGAAAGCGGCCATTTTTGCTGGGAGCCTGTGTCAGGCAACCACGGAACGGGACGAAGAGTCCAGACTGGACAGGAATGACAGAAATGCCAAGACGAGGATTCGGAGACTTGCAGCAGGAGTAGGCGCGCCACCAACTATTTTAAGTGTTGAGCTGCTACACAGGCAGACCACGCTGTCCAGAAGTTGAGACTAAATGTGGGGGAGCAACAAGAAAGCAAATCCCCACCGCTGAAGCTCAGGCTCCGAGCCCTCGGCGCAACCCGCGCCCGGGGGCGGGGGCTGAAGATGGGCGTGGCTTTCCGGGCTGCGGTCCACTCAAGAGGCTGCGTCCGCTCCGGCCCCTTGTTAAGCCCGCCTCTCCAGGGCGTGCGGCGTGCTGCGCAGCTGCGAACGATTGCTTCCGGAGGCGAGTCAGCGGAAGTGACGTCTGAGGCCCGGCCGCCTGCTGTAGTAGGAGGGGCTGAGGTGAGTCCGGAGCTTGAGTCTGAGGTGAGCCAGACGCAGGGCAGCGCCGCTGGGAGGCAGGGAGGCGCGGTGGGCGCCCCCGGTTCGCTGCCAGCGCCTCCGTCCCGGCGCAGGGGCAGCGCGTGATTCCTAGTCCCGTGAGCGTTCTCGCGGGAGGCGCCGCTGTCTGCCCCTCCTTGACGGGGACACTGGTCCCGAGGCGTAGTTGCCGGCCAAGTTCCCCAACCGTGGGGGTCGACCCCGCCGTTAGCGTGCGACCCGTTTCGCGCCCCTGCTGCGTGGCGTTTCTGGGATCCACACCGGCCTGGAGGCTCCGGCCCGGCCCGTGGGTTCCAGGGCCACCGGACGCACATTGAGGACTTGACCGACCTTGGCCTTGGCCGGGCCGCCTTCGCGGGGGCGGGGGGCGAGTCGTTGAGGGCGCGAGACCTTCCCTCCGGGTGGCGTGGGACCCTCACGCACTTGGCGCGGTTGTCCGCCGGGCACCGCTGGGCAAAGTTTCTGCCTGGCCCGGGAGTGCCGGGCCGAGGCCCTCCGTGGAGCAGAGCGGGTGTACCGAGAGAGGCGTACACTGCCACCGCGGAAGGGGCTGCGGAGGCTCCGAGGTGCGAAGACCCGGGGCTGCGGAGCGGGCGAGCGCGGTAGCGGGCACGCGGGGGGCGGGGCCTCGGAGCTAAGTTGGTGGTGCCGACAACGGTTTCCTAAAGCTGAGCGCTTGCGGTGCCTGGCCGTGTCGTGGGCCGATTGGTTACTTCGTTTTGGGCTTGAGTGGCCACGGCGTGCACTGAGGACCCGCGTGATGCATGGGCACAGCGCTGAGGGACTGGGATGACCTGGATAAGGGTTCTGCCGGGTCCCACGGAGGCAATGGTATAGATCAGGGCTTCAGAGAGAGCGTGTTGCGAGCTGATGGCCCGGTAGCAGTGTGGCTCAGGGAGGGAGAGTGGCCGCAAAGCGTGCACTGGCCAGTGTTAGAGCTTGGTTTGGGGAGCCAGAAGATGGGTCTGGCTGTTTGGTAGGCCCTGCTGGCAGGAGGGCTGTAGAGTCTAGGAGAGAGTCGATTTAAACACTAGAGCAATAGAATGAGCAGTTTATTAAAATCTGCCTTCACCTAAAGATTAGATTCGGCTGGAGTCTTTGGAGTAGCCCAGTTAGATGACATTCAGCAAGAAGTCAGGCACACAGGGACTTTGTAAGCGTCAACAGGGCTGCACATACCAGAACCTAGACCAGAGACTTTGGGCGCTGTCTACTGTACAGCCACTGACTAGCCAGACAAGTCCTTTCCTTTCTCTGTATATCATGACAGTTGTCATGGTAGAATAGGAACTCCAGATCTCCCTTAAGAGATACTTCCCGTCAAGTTCAGCTCATCCCTGTTCAGCACCAGACCTCATTCCCCAGTGACTCCTCACCCAGGCATTGCAAACCCTCATGACAAGACCCCTGTCTGCCTTCTGCAGTGTCTTAGGCTACTCTGTTGTCTTTTTACAAGTCCCTCTCTTTCCTTCTCTCTCCAAACTCAACATGGGGTCTTGGACTGTAGTCAACTCAGACGCCCACCTGC